GAACAGGAACGAAAATTGGGGCAAATGCGAGCACAGCCGCTAATTTCTGCTCAATCGTTACTTCCCCCAGTGTCAGTTCAGCAAGTAAAACCAGAAAAGCCTTCAACATTGCAGAGGTCCCAGGAAACTGTCATTAGAGAACTGCAGCCTCAACAGCAGCCCCGAACAATTGAGCGACGAGATCTGCAGTACATCACTATAAGCAAAGAAGAGTTGTCCTCTAGTGATAGCCTGTCTCCTGACCCTTGGAAAAGAGATGCTAAGGAGAAACTGGAGAAGCAGCAGCAGATGCACATTGTGGACATGCTGAGCAAAGAGATTCAAGAACTTCAAAATAAGCCAGATCGCACTGCTGAAGAGAATGACCGTCTGCGAAAGCTCATGCTAGAGTGGCAGTTCCAGAAACGGCTCCAAGAGTCAAAGCAAAAAGATGAAGATGAAGATGATGAGGAAGATGATGACATAGACACTATGTTGATTATGCAGCGTCTGGAAGCTGAGAGAAGAGCAAGGGTAAAATCAGAATCCTTTTAAAATGTTGTGCCCTGAAACTTGTATGTGATGTTAGTAAATCTAAGTAAAAATAACCTATCATTACAGGATAAAGGAGGACTGGACTGTCTTAATGTCCCTGTCTTTCATTCTACGTGATGAAGCCTGGCCTTATCTGTCACAGTTTGTTAAATTAAGTGGGATATCGCAGGCTACTAATGAGGAAGCTTGATAGCCTTTCTTTCAGCCCTCTTTACAGAAAAAAAATATATTGGCATAGAAATTCAGGCATCCACTATTATACATACATCTATAATTCATTAAAATTAAAAAAACAAACAAAAGGACAGTTAACTTTGTCACTTTTAAAAATATCTCTAATTCTTTTTCAGTATTTTATTTATAAAACCAGTACTACCAAAGATAACGTATCCATCTTTCATTTGTCCAAGCATTGTTGGTTTGTTCATTCCAAGAGCAGCATTTTTTGTTCTGTATCAAGGATTTCAAGTACGGTTCACTATGTACTGAGTAACATAATTGCAGAAACTGATACAAACTTTATAAAACCTTTTTTTCTTTTGGGGAACCTAAGATAGCATGTGCAAGTGTGCAATCCTATGCAGAATTACTCCAGTCTAAGCCCATTCAATTCAGTCAGGTTGTATTGGAGTAACTTTGTACAGGATTGTACTATAAAACGCTGATGAATGGTCAGATGTACAGTATAATCCTATGCAGAGTTACACAGATTATGTCAGATTTTCTTTGGCATTGATTTTTTGTATAGACTGCTACTATTGCCATTAGAGCACAGTTGAAAGTACTAGATTTTCAGGGTTCTGTCTCTCTTCATTGCACTCTGTCCCCCCCCCCCCCCCCGATTGCACTCTCCCCCCCCCCCCCCCCCCCCGGTTGTGGCTAGTTTTCTACATTGTGCTTAAAAAGCAGATAAAAGAAATGCTGTAAATATTCCTTGACAGAATAATTTTACTACATCCCATTTCTGCTCAGTTTTATAGATTAAAAATCATCTCACACTTTAATCTGTTTTAAAAGTTGTATCATATTCTTAATTGGCCATCTCTGTTGTGTAACATACTCAGTAAGTTATTTTTGCAATAGGACTGAAGGTTAAATTTTGTTAAGGTCTTGCACAGCTTTAAAAACATAGTGGTTTGTTTCTGGTAAGAATAAAGTATAAAAACTGAAAGCAGTTAATCATCTGCTCTTTCACAATAGACAACCTCATCTGCATTGTAAATATCCATGTACCAATAGAATGTGTCATACCTTAAAGCAAGGAAGCAATTCATAGAAATAAGCAGTTTTTAAAATTATAATTGGTTTATTTAGGGACAATCACTAGTTGTTAGAGTATCAAAACACTGCATGTTCTCTTTTTAATATACAGCTGTTGTAACAAATCAAAGAAAAATGCTTTTGGCATAGTGCAAATCTCAGTTTTCCCTTATTTTCACTGTGCATCTTTCTTTTTCCTTCTTTTTATTACCTGCAGCAGACTGCTATGCCAGCAATCTCTGTTCTAGATTTGGTATGTTCTTATTTCTTTCTCTTCAATGCTTTTTCCTATTGCTTTTTTCTTTTTCTTTTTCTTTAAATTAGTAATGATCCAATATGCATTGGATATTGTCTGTCATTTTTGGAGTACTTTAAGGCAGGGGAATAATGCATTAAATTAGCTGTAAGCATGCAAATAATTGTTGCTGAAGATGTGTTCCTAACTTTTCCCATGCCTTTCTCCTTTAAATATTGTGTTTTCTTTGCATCTTTGAATTGTTTGCAGCTGTTAATTACCATAGCTATATTGAACCACATATTCAGTATTTTTTAAGAATTCAAGGAGTTGGAAACTGTAATATTGACAGAATGAGATTTTGTTTGATTCATTTTGTTAAGACTTTCCTTTCCTGCAAATCATAGTTACTAACAGGTTATTATAGCTATCCCAATATCCAACTTATGTTACAGTATTTAGCTTCTCCTGGTCATATTCATGAATTGTCATTTACATTACTTGTCTAGAAGTAGTTCCTTTTAACCTTTCACTTCTTGAAACACTAAGGTGTTCTTTTTGAGCATATTTGTAGACATATTACATAGATACTCTTGCTATAATTCTGTCTTTATTTCAGTCATTTTACTACATTTCGCTAACATACTAACTAGTAGAACACTAATAATTCCATCCCAGCAGAGTTACATAATTTTAAATCCATTGAAGTTCATAGGTTTGGAATGGTGTAAGGGTACTTAGGATCGTACTGTAGGTGCAAAATTAAATAATACCACAAAATACAGAAAGCTCAGCATCCTAGTACACTTTCCATAATGTGAGCTACTTCTAGGTATATGGCAACTAGCTACATCTGTAGGGAAAGGGAAAAGATTCATCTTTTATATCACTTTTCCATGTCCATTAACTTTATAACAACATTATAACATTATTAACTTTATAACAACATTCTTGGTGCATGACCTATGTAACAGGTCTTAGTGTATTCTGATTGACATGTAGCCGGGGTCATTTCGTAGAAAAAGAGCTAGGGGGACTCATTAGCATAACTCATTAGCATATGCCACACCCCCTGACATCAGGGGCCCGGCGGTGGACCTGCAAGGCTAGTGGGAGTGCGAGGAAGCCCCGCCAAGGCCCTCCCTGGCCCCAGGCAGGGGTGGGGAGAGGCGGGGAGGAAGCAACTTACCCTCCCTCTTTTCCTGCCTCCTCCTGGCTGAATGAGGGCTGGAAGCGGGGCGGCCAGAAGCAGGGGGCGGGGCTTCATCATGTGCCCCACCCCCTGTACCTCACCTGGGGGAACTGTGTTCCCCCGCGTTCCCCCCCGAAATGACCTCTGCATGTAGCAATTTGATGTTTCTCCGCTTCTTTTTACTTTTAAAACAAAAGCCACGGTTGAATGTGAAAATCAGCTCTCAAACTAGAGATATTTTCCTGACTCTAATATTTAGACACAAACCAGTCTAAATCCCGTTATTTTCAAGGGAAGAGATTTAAGTCTCCTGCTTAGCTAAAAGTAAGGTGCTAAATTTTGGCTGGGTTATGACTGCTAGGAATATCTCATATAATTCCATATACTCCTAGCAGTCATAAACCAGTCATACTTATATTTATAAATCTGCTACGTGAAAGAATATTTACAGTAATTCCACTTGGTACAAGACTTCTAAAGTGACACGGTACTATATTACACATTGTGGGACACGGTCCAGTAGTTCTCCTTTATTCTTTTATAACACTTTAACAGATTTGTGAAGTTGAAAATATCCACACCAGAGGTCCCCAACATGTTGCCTGTGGGCACCATGGTGCCCATTCTGCCAAGACTGTTTAGAGAGTAGGAGGGGCCAGGTGGGGCTTTTGCCCATGAGCCTCTGATTGGCTGTGCAGATTTTTTTAAAATGTTGCTTTAGCAACAGCTACCATCACAGTACAAGGATCTTCACTGTGGAACTGAAGGCAAGCTGTCTGTATGCAAAACCAATATTTTAAACCATATGTTCATTTTAGAAGGCATCATGTCAAACAAAACTACTGCCTGAAATGCTACAGAGTTACTGTAAGAGTTATTCACAGTGACATTTTGGGTTGACTTTGCTTCCTGTAGCTGTGATTGTGTGGGTGCACCCACAACTCAGTGACAGAATTCTAAACGTGCCTGCAGGCTCAAAAAGGTTGGGGACCCCTGTTCCACAATTTTTCTTTGAGGATGCTCTTTCTGAAATCTTTCATTTCTGTACAGTGTTCTGCTCTGCTGTGTAGAACTAGGTCCTTCCTAAAACTGAAGCAATACATAATTGTGATCAATAGGGTTGCCAACCTCCAAGTGGGGCCTGGAGATTTCCTGGAATTACAACTGATCTCCAGATTACACAGATCAGTTCCCCTGGAGAAAATGGCTGCTTTAGAGGGTGGACTTTATGACATAATACCACACTGAGATCCCTCCTCTTACCAAACCCCACCCTCCTTAGTCTCCACCACCACATCACTAGGAATTGCCAAACCCAGAACCAGCAACTGTAATGATTAGGGATTTGCAAACAAAATGGTATGTTTCATGTTGGAGTCTACTGAACCCGAAAAATATTGGTATTTCCCAGTATACCCAAATCCCTATATTGGTATGATATTGGGATTCAGGAAATAATCAGGATTGCTGAATTTATTCAGTTCCATTATACCTTATGGGGACTGTCCCCATAGGGTATAATAGAGAAGAGATTTAAACTTTAAATGCTTGCTGAGTTCATTCACAGTGAACTGAACTCAGGGGAAGTCAGCAAGCATTTGCGAGTGATGTTAGCAAGCATTTAAAGTTTAAATCCTTTCTGAGGTCACTCGCCAAGGCGTGCCACTGTGGCCACATGACTCTGTAAGTGAACTGAATTCAGGTAAGCAAGCATTTAAAGCTTAAATGCTTGCTCAATTCACTTGCTGAGTCTCGTTGCCACAGCGGCGTGACTCAGCAAGTGAACTGAAAAGGCATTTAAAGAGACTGTGATTTCTTTAAATGCCTTCTGGTTTGGCTTGAATAAAAGCTGATTAATATCTACTTTTATTCAGGCGTGGCTACTTCAGTAGCCAAGTACAGATATCTGATATGTATTCAGCTGAATAAATACCTGAGAAATATGATAAGGTATTTTGGGGTATTTCTTCAGCTTGGTATATACCCCAGTAGTGATTGAGAGGTAGGGTCACATATAAGAGTTTTGTTGTTGGGTTTTTTTTTCATTTTGAATTAACTTTTTTCTTCCTGGGCAGCCTGAGTAGCTGCCTGAAAACTAATTCTAGGGCTAGTGGTCCCTTTTTAAGTCAATAGTAGGGTTGGGCACAAGCCTAAAAATTCCAGTTTGGGGTTATGATGGGCCAAACTGGGCAAAAAAATCCCCAAACTGGCCAGATCAGCTCCCCCTTTGTCCCTGGAAAGACGGGGGGATCACCTGGCAGCCATTTCAGCACTTTGTTTCGCTGGAAGCAGGGGGAGTCAAAATGGAGCGCTGAAATGGCTGCCAGCCCATTTAAACCTAACGCCACTCAGCTTTTAGGTTTAAATGGCCCAAACAGCTGAACCAGACAAAAGTTTGGTAAATGTTTGGGGAAGGCACCTTTCCTGAACATCTGTTCAGGGGCCACGCACTGGGCCATGTTCATGCCAGATTTTGGCCCATGAACCGGTTCGTGCCCATTGTTAGGCAATAGAGATGGAAGCAAACTTTCCCTCTAACATTGTATTATTCCTGTTGGCAGGGAAGTCAATGCAACACATATGCAACATACTTTCCTATCAAACCTAAACCTATTTTTTCTGCTTGAACAACATAAAAAAGCTGGCATATAAAATTATATTCATTAGCATATTTATGAAATTTAAAAGTATAAATATATCAGTTTTCTACAAGTAAAATTGTAACTACAACCAATATTAGAAAGAGGGAGAGGTGCAAACTGTTGTTCCCTATGCGGTCATAGCACATTTCACTCATTCTTAGAGAAAAAAAATATATTTGTTTGAATTTTTCCAGTGTTCCCCAAAATTTCCCTGTTTGCCTGATTTCCCCCTCCCCCAGCCTCTATAATTTCTAGCCAAAAACACACGTGTTGGAAAAGAAGTGTGCGAGAGGAAAAAGAGATTATTTATTTTTAAAATGAAAAACAGTGTATACTCTTTCATTTAGCACCTGAAACACGAGAACAATAAGTAGAAGATAAGGAGCCCTTTCGTCTCCAAAATGTAACCCTTCTAGCCTTGCTTTGTTTTGAAAGTTAAGAATTAGGACAACATAGAATGTGAGAATGTTTGAGAAAGTAATGGGGTATTTGCTAACTATGTTCAGTGCAGAGCATATTACGTTGTATTAATGCTGGATCTATGTTTATTGCATTTTCATATTAGCTGTTAGATTCACACACTTTTAAGAGTTTTCGCTACTTTTGTTTTCTCAAGTCTTTAATGTTTCTCCGGTGATTATTGGTAGGTTTTCTGTTTGAGCCTGCCTGGTCTATTGGTTAATTTTAAAAGGCATAACTTTTTGATGCTAAAATTCAGATTCTAAACATAGCAGAATTTTGATGAAAGAGTTGATGTCAGCATGTTGTATCTAAGACTGACTTTATATATTTTATCATGACAAGTGCCTTGGCAATTCCTGGTTTGTTTGGGACTTTTTTGCATCATTGTAATGTCCCAGATAAATCCTGAACATCTTCCCCAGTGGGGGAAGTAGGCAGTTTACTCTCTCAATAGGAGCATGTACATCTCCCAGACTGGAGAATTGTGGCAATGCACTGAAACAGGAGGTTTTTGTGCTTCCAGTGCAGATGTCTGAACCCAATCTGAACATGTAGGGAACTAAAACATGTATATTCTTAGAAAGAGGAATATATAAGTAGGCTTCTTTTCTGCATTTTTAATTTGAAAATTGTCGGTTGTATTTTCAGATTGAAATCCGCACTATGTTCGCGCACTATGTTGTCACTGTGACTGCTGAAGAACATCATCTTTGCAACATATTTGTATTGATCTGCATTTTTTTTTTTTAAAAAAAGGCTTTCATTTATGGCTTTTTATCCTGTCAGAGATACTTTGGCTTTTGTGGGGAAAAAATTGAGAACAAATTTTTGTTAGCTACAGGATGAAGAGCGCAGACGGCAGCAGCAGTTGGAAGAGATGCGAAAACGGGAAGCGGAAGACAGAGCTCGGCAAGAAGAAGAGCGCAGGCGCCAAGAGGAGGAGCGGACAAAGCGAGAGGGAGAACAAAAGGTTATGGTCACTCAGCTAGCTTGATCCTTAGCAATTTGATTTTCAGAATGTTCACATTGTTTCAGTATTGAACAAGTTTTTTCTTTGTGGTGAGCAGTAATTATCATTTATTTAGTAGATTTTTATCCTATCCCTCAATCAAGAAATTTTCACAACAGCTTACAAATTAAAGCAGATCAGTAGCATACAAATCAATATATCTAAATCTCAGAATGGCCAAATCTGGAGATACTTAAATCCAGAGACTGGAGCTGTGAATAGACAAGACAGATCCTTATTTAAATCTGAGAAAAGCCCCAGCTTTGAAAAAACAATCTGAAATCTTAAAAAAAACAAAAACAAAAAACACTCGGTGACACTGCCTCAAAAAAACACTGCCTCAAAATACTAAAAGCAGTTCTTATAGCTTTAAGAAACAAATGCCTTCTGTGGTCATGGCTAGGCAACTACAACTGTATTGCCACTTGAAGCCTTGTTTCTGTCCATAAAAGACAGGGGGAGAGGCAGGGCTTTTTTCCAGTCTGTTCTGGCCTTTGAGGAAGGACTCATCAGAGTCAGGCCCCACTAGCAGCCACTTGGCAACTTGCTAAGATGTGAATTCCATGGCTCACTCAGGCTCAGGTGCTCACTGTTGTTCAACAGCAACTACCACATGAAAGCCAGTGGTGGTGTGGTTAGAGCAGGGGTGCCAAACATGTGGCCTGCTGGCTGGATCAGACCCTTGAAGGGCCCCAATCCAGCCCACAAGGTCCTGGCTGTTTCCTGCTTTCTTTTCCAGTTCTGCTGCTGCGGTCACATCACAGCTTACTTTACCAGTCTCTCTCAATCACACAGGAGAGATAGATAGGCTTTGCCTCTCCTGTGCAATAGAGAGTCTGGTAAAGAACTGGCTGAGGCTCCTCCCCTCCTCCTCCCAGGGGGAGGAATAGCCAGAGCTAGCTTCCTGGACAGGCTGCAGGAGACAAAGGGAAGCCTTTCTTTCCTTCCACTGGCTGAGGCTCCTCCCTGAAGGGAGGGAGGGAACAAGGGAGAGCTTGCTTTGCTGGGCTGCCTCAATCGCATGGGAGAAATACTTTTAAGACAAACAAAGTTTTGTTCAAATTATGAGCTTTTGTGTGCCTTGCTACAGTGCGTGTGTGTTTTGTTGGGCTCTTTATGCCAGGCTCTCCTGGGTGCAACTGGGTTCCCTCCCCTTTTTCACTGTATTCATGCCCTCATGATCCAGTCTTTCTCAGTAAGAAAGCAATGTGAACTATTTTAGAGGAGGAATAACAACAAGCCAGTGAGGTGGATTAGGCTGAGAGTGTGTGTCCAGACCAAGTTCACCCAGCACATTTCCTTTGTAGGAAGTTGTAGTTATTTCTCCGGGGAAGACTGTAGTTTTGTAGACAAACACATGGCCCTCAGTCTTTGTCAGGATGCCTTCTCATGTTCTTGACCAGCACATGAAGCAACTTATGTACAAAAGCTTGCAATGCCCAGCCATTTCATATTTTCTCCTGGGTCCTAGGCTCAGAACACTGAGCGTGAGATTTCTGTAATGAATGTCAATAAATCAAAAGTAGGTTTGTAGCTTACAGATAAACACCTGAACAGCATACTAAAGGTTGCTACAGCATAGACATTTTGATGCAATAGTTCAGAGCAAGAGGTGTCAGTTATCAGAGACTGTTAAATAGACAAAATATTGCAAGGGTGCTAGTGTTTTAAGTATGTTTTATTTAAAGTTTAAAAAATCTTTAATTGTGTTTGTCTGTGTCCTTTATAAAGTTTATCTCCGCTACCTGGCATTACATTTTATGACACACATGGCCCAGCCCAACAAGGTCTCATTTATGTCAGATCTGGTCCTCATAACAAATGAATTTGAAACCCCTGGCTTAGTAGTTCTGGTGCCAGACAGATGGTTGAGGGAAGGGCAGTTCACATTTTGGATGCTCACTGATTAGGTGTTAGTGCCTTCTGACATTTGATCATGGAGGAATGTGTAGCGATGTTACTGAGGACAGTTTTAATTCATGGACTAATAGTTAATTGGCTTCACTTACTACTTTTATAACACTTAACGTACTGTGCACTACTTTAGCTTAAACCCAAAACTGCAACTGGGAGATGGTGCTAAAACAGGAGACTTTACAAGTCAATTGGCTTAAATAAATGAAGAGGATGAAGAGGTGCATAGAGAAAACACAAATATAGCAAACAGCAAGACTGTGGAGAGATTTGGGAGTAAGGGAAGATGTTTAAGCTTAATGCAAAGCAGCAAAAGAACCCAGTAAAGTCAGTAAAAGAGAAGAGGAGCACAGCCAGAAGAACAAGTAAAATAAGCCAGAAGGACAAGTAAAGTATCAGCTGTTTATTTCTAATGACAGTCAGCATGAATCCTTAGGTTGATGGGAAAATAAGGCTTACTGTAGTTTAGGGAGTATGAATCTGTGTTTCCTTATGCATCTTTCCTTCTCCTGTTGCATTCAAATCATACCAGGGCTGCCAAGAGGGGGAAATTGGGGGGGGGGTGTCAGCTGGAGGTCCCCTAAAGGCAGCTTCAGCTTGCATCCTGCCAAATGCCTTTCCATTGATTTTCCTTTTGATGCAGTTCTGGCTGCAGCCACTAGGGGCGCAGGAAAGGCTGAGCACAGTAAAAAGTCCCTGACCAGGCTAAACTCACCTTTCTGCGAGACAGAAGTAAAGTGGTAGTGTGATGCAGCAAGTTAAAACAGCCCTTTACTTTTAGTTAAAACAACCTTTTCCTCTGTTTTCATTAAATTCTCTCATTCATTTCTATCTTCCTTAACCTAATTTTTCCATGTGTCTCCCCCCCCCCCCCCCCATTTATTTCCAAGTCTTGGTCACTCCTCGTCCTTATCCTACTTGGCAACAGAATGGACTTAATACTACAGTAGCAAACCTTTCTCAATATTATGAATGGAAGGGGGAGTTAATATTTCCCCATGATCTAACAAAGTAGCAAAAGGATGCTTCTCCTGTCCTCTACCCTTTATGTGCACAGTAATGAAACGTTAACTTAATTTAATGGTTATACATGTGGAACGGGAGTTAGAACTCCCAGTTCAGGCACTGGGTTGTTATCATTATTACTGTGTTGGTAGAAGATGTTATAGCCCTTTGTAAAGGCTACTTTGCTATGTGACTGATGATACAATCTTTTTAATGTCATTAAAAATTAGATTTGCTAGTGGGAACCTCCAAGGACCTGTGGGAGGCATCTCACTTTCCCTCCCCCACTATTTTCCCTTTTACTCCTCCTGGTAACTCCATATCCTCTCCCTGTCTCATTTTCTCCTTCTCAGCCATTCACCAACTTACCTTTTATCTGCCTCCCATCTTCAGCTATATTTATTATTTATTTCATTTATACCCCACCTTTCTCCACAGTAGGGGCCAAAGCAGCTTATATTCTTCTCCCCCCCTCCTTTTTATCTGCACCACAAACCTGTGAAATAGATTAGGCTGAAAGCATGTGATTATAAACCAATCACCCAGTGATTATCTTCTATACCAAGATGGGGATTCAAACCTTGGTCGACCAGACCCCACTCTGAAGCTTTAACCATTATACCTCACTGGCTTTCAAAGAGTGGCTGCTGTTGCACAGTAGCAAGAAGCCAGGCCTAATTGAGTCATGCAAGTAGGGTGGTATCAAGTCACCCAGAGGTTGCTGTCATGGCAGAGATCTGTCCCCCTGGAATAGAAGCCTGGTTTGGAGGGTGGACTCTATGGCATTAGATCCAGCTGAGGTCTCTCCCCTCCCGAAACCCTGCTTTCCTCCGACTCCTTCACAAAATCTTCAAGAATTTCCCAGCCTGAAGCTGGCAACCCTAATCAGGCCTGGTTCCAATGAGTCCTCCCTCAGAGACTAAAATAGGCCTGGAAAGGGCCTGCCCCCTCCCCCTGCCTTTTACTGACAGAACCAAGCCTTAGAACACTGTGGTTGTCTAGCAACAGCCACTGAAAGAATCTGTTGCTTAAAGCTACAGGTGCTTTTATCATTTTCAGGTTTTTTAAACCCCCCGTGTTGGGGGGGGGGGTGTTTAGATTTCACATTTTCCTGCAAACCTGGGGCCCTTTTCAGGTCTGTAGAAAGTTCTGTCTTGTCTCTTCACAGCACCAGTCATTAGATTTAAGTATCCCAAGATTTGGATGGCTTCATTATTAGTATGTAGATAACAAAAATCATACCCATCTTTCTTTCCAGTGGGGACCTAAAGCTGCATTGTTCTCCTGTCCTCCATTTTATCCACACAATAATCCTATGAAGTCTGTCTAACTGAGAGTGTTACCCAGCAACCTTTTATGGCAGATTGGGGTCTGAGTATTAGTGTCACATGACAGGTTGCTTGAAAGCTGTCTCATTATATGTTGCTTATCGTGAAGATAAACAATTCCCTTCGTTTTTGGCTCTGCAACTTCCATTATCTTTCTGGGGTTGGTGGCCAGTTTTCAAACATGTAGCATTATTTTCTGATGAGTTACTCTTGCCACAAATGGAGACCCTTAGCTTCCATTGCAAATAGCATGGGGGAGGGTTGCCATATGATAGAAAATAATATAATGGGGAGGGTGTCTCACCTGGGCCAGGATATTCCCATGCCTTTCAGTTTTGGCCCTGGAATTCCCACAATCATGCTGAATTTTGAGTCTTCTAGCTTTATTCTCTGATGAGTTATGCCTGCTGTAAACAGACATGCCAATTATTTTATTACTATATATTCATGGTAACAGCAAGCAAAGTGATTTATTTTGTTATGATATTTGGCTTGGATCAAAGTCATATGGGGGGATCAGGTGGTATCTTTGTTTGAGGGCCCTAGGGGCTCTCAGCAGCCCTGGATCACCCTTGCCTCTGATAATTTGTTGGGAAGCAGTGGTCATATGTGTTCTATAGATAGTTCAGTTGACAGAACTTTGATCTGTTACAAATAATCCTGTAAGAGGTAGTGCAGAGTTAACACTAAGCATGTCTTAGAGTCAGGACTGCAGGATTATATTATCATTTCCCTAACTTTTACATATTCCCCCTCCTCGCCTCAACTGTGATTCTTCACTACTTCTGACTGCTCATCCCTAACTGCCTATCCACACTTGAGAGCCAGCATGGTGTAGTGGGGAACCCAAGTTTGAATCCCCACTGGTGCCTTGGAAGCTTGTGGGATGATGTTGGGCCAATCACACTCTTACGTAACCTACCTCACAGGGAAAGACAGGGAAACAATGTAAGCCACTATGGGTCCCCATTGGGGACAAAGATGAGATATAAATAAAGTGAATAAATAAATGTGGTTTGGAATGTTCAAGCAGAACTCTGAACCATGGTTGAGAGTAGCATGCAGAATTTTAGAAGAGTCAGATAAAGAAGTGGTTCAGCCAATAAACTATGGTTAGCATTACATCTGCATCAGTCCTAAGAAATCACTTATTATGTTATAATGTTCACCAGATGATTCTTTATGTGCCATTTCTCTATATTGCTATATTCATTGATTTCCTTTACTGTTTGTTATTAAATAATACCCACCCCAAATGGTCGAGAGATGCAGGGAGATGGTACACAGCTACAGAAGGAAGAAAGGGGATTGAGTGTATACTAGTTTTCTAATGATGAAAAGGATGGAATGAATGAGAACTGAACAAGCTACTAGTTTTTTTTAATTAAAGGCAAAGTGGAAAGCCTTAATGGTTATGTTCAATATTATTTTTTTCCTTTTAAACTGCATGTAACATTTGTTAATCCTTCATACATTTTTCTCAGTGCAAGTTTATGCATCTAAATACAGAAATGAGCCAACATTTACATAACTTTTGTATAATAGGAAGTGTTGCTCATTTCTTAGGAATAAAGAAGAGAATTGTACCTTTGAATGTGTCATAGCAAAATATTGCCCTAATTGCTTGGGGGAAAATGTATTTTATTGAATGATATCCTTTTGTTCCTTTTGGCTCTCCAGAGGCGACAAGAGGAAGGATATTACAATCGTCTGGAGGCTGAAAGGCGCCGTCAACATGATGAAGCAGAACGGAGATTGCTGGAACCCGATGAGCCTGGTCTGTACAGACCTCCGCTTCCACGGGAATATGAATTCCCACCCCTGCCCCCTTCATCTAATGCTCCTCCTCCCCCACCTCAGCGAAACACCTCTTACCTCAAAACACAGGTCCTCTCCCCTGATACGATTTATACTGCCAAGTTTGTTGCATACAATGATGAGGAGGAGGAGGATTCCTGTCTAGCAGCAGGTCAGGATAAGTACGCCAGTACAAGAAAGTCTTATGGTGACCTTCCTCCTGCCACCCTTAAACCACAGCAGCCCTCACGCCAGCCACGCCCAGCCTCAGATGGCATCTTCCTTTCCAACTCATTCCAGCCATCCTCGGTCAATGCCAACAGTACTGCTTACAAACTGAGCCATCCCCCTCCCATACCAAACAAACCGAGTTTCATCAATCCCAGCAACTCAAAAGGTAGACACAAAATTTTAAATAAGAATCTTTCTGTATGAAACTCTCTATGCGTTTCACACTGTGATTTCCTGGGAAAAAATCACTTTATGATTATTTCTTACTCGATCACTATCCTTAGCATGGTGATGTAACTTTTAAGTGGTATGCTATGGTAAATGGTGTGTTCTTTCAATCATCTTTATTCCTTATCAAACTCTCCATGATTTGTACTTTCATATAATGAAAGCAAAATCACTTTTTAAAATTTCTTGTTCAACTAGCTAAAAGTACTGTTGGTTTTGGCTTTTATCCTGCATCTTTTTCACTTTCTTATTCCATTGGGTCCATGATAGTTTAACATTTCTGAGCTATATGCTTCTCATGAAAATAGGATATGTGTATTTGATTCATTAATTGGGGAGAAGTTTCCATTTGCTTGTTTGGCATGCAAATAGTGTGCAAATGGCTTTAAAATTATACTAGCTGGCAAGTGTTGTATTCTAAATGCTATATGTATGTTTGAGGGAAGAAGTGCTAATCATTGACGTGAGAACAATACTATAGCAGCCCATGTGATCTTTATGGTACAAGTTTCCTCCTGTTAGAGTAAAGGCCTGGGTTTTTTTCCCCTACCTCTTCTGTCTCTGAGTTACTCTTCCTAACTTTCTACCTTAGAAAAAATAGTTCCATTATCTGCACTGCTGTCGTCTGCAGAGCACAAGAATTCTAACTTTATCGCAAGGGTTGTGGCTAGTTTTGAGCTTTTAATAAGGTGGCAAACTTAAACAAGTTTCTTAAAATAACTTTTCACAATAACCCCCAATTTAATGGAATTACTTAGGTTTGAATATTGCTTCTCTTTCCCTGTCCCTTGACTCTGCACATTGAGCTCAGGGATGGGTCCAAGTTTTTTCCAGCTTCATCATATTATCACTGTGTGGAAAAGGAGGATTACTTGAACCAGGAGATCCCACAGTTGTTTGAACATAGAATCATTCCACTCCTGACTGATAAAATTCTGTCACATCAAAAGAAATCTACATTCAAATCGCAGAAAAATCTCCCAGTTTGAGGAATTACTTATAGTGAGGAGCAGAAAGGGAACTAATGGTTGAATAATGCCACTGTTTATCTTAATCTGTAATTCATGCACTACTTAGCATATTTTAACTCTTTGGCCTTACTTATTCTTTGGGGTACAACTACAGAATCTGCTGTTGAACCCCCAGTTACTGCGACATTGCCTGTTAACAGGAATAATAATTTTCTGTGCTGCTTCTACTGATAGCTGAACAGGAATGTAACACTTCCTTTCATATAATCCTGTTCATACCTATTATCAATGGTAATGCTGTAAAGGAAATGCTTTGATTGTTATAATTTACGTAAAATTGATCTTCAGCTTAGAAGGGGTCAAATTTGAAAGATGCTGGTCTTTGGGTTTTGTATGGCACTGTATTTAAGCTTCAGAAATAATAATCATTAGTTAATCTTTCCCATTGAACTTTAAGTACAGCTAGGGGTGCCAGCCCTGGGTTGGGAAATACTTGTAGTTTTTTGGGGGGGTGGAGCCTGGGGATGGTGGGTTTGGGGAGGGCAGGGACCTCAGCAGGGTACAATGCCATAGAGTCTACCCTCCAAAGCAGCCATTTTCTCCAGGGAAACTGATCTTGGTCATCTGGAGATCCATCTAGTGGGAGATCTCCAGCCACCACCTGAAGATTGGCAACCCTAAGTACAACATGACAATAAATCACTTATTCCAGTGTTTCTTTCATACTGCGTTTGGAGGAAGCTACCTCTTCCAGTAGTTGATGTCTGATATCTAGTGATCTATTAGTTATAGTTTCATATCTTCCCTACTTTCTTGTTCCCCAGCAACCATTTCCAACTCCAGTTTATTCCCGGGGTCACAGGATCCATGTGAAATAACAGCCAAGCAGATCACTGGACTGCAATGAGAAAGGAAGGAGACAAAATTGTCCTTCCTGCCTCATCCATCAGTGGACCTCTGCCAACAGAAGAGGAAGAAGGGAGCAATTACTCCCACTTTCCTCTTCAGTGCTGTTCATTGGCCAGTCTGGCTGTTGTTCCATGCAGGTCCCATGACCCCAGGAATAAACTTTTCTAGGGTCAGAAATGGTTGCTTGTAGAGAAGGGAAAGTGGAGAATGTCTGCACCCTTGCATTGGATCCAACACAGTGTCTCGTTTGAGGATTCAAATAAATGCAGATACGTTTTGGTAATAACTGAGGGATGCTAGTTCTTCATCATAGACACAATGCATGAACCATTTGACTAATTCTGGTTATTTGTATTTCATACATATTTAAAAAGTTTATAGAACAGGTCATATATTTAACCTGAGTGTACAATCTGTGAAGACTGCCTACGTAAAGTACAAAGCTCTTTGCACAAAATGCAGAATTTGCTGTGCAGCTTGTCATCTCTCCATCTTGCTAACACTGTCCTTTCTGTCCTTTTATGAATGCTAACACATGGCAAATTGTGCTTCTGCAAAACTGAATTTCCCCAGCTCCTTCCACTGGATGGCTTGGGACCACTTTAAAAATATTGGCTTTCTCAAATATGGAGTAAAATTGGGTGAGCTGCAGTCTGTATTAAGGCAGATTTTTTTCAACAAAAATGATGGTTAGATTTTAAATTTGGCAGTGACCAAAAGAAATTCATTTCATTGAAATTTGTTATGCAGCTTGAAATGTGATCCTGTGCATATTTTCCCAGAAGTAAATCTCACTGAGTACAGTGGGGCTTTCTCCCAGGTACATTGGCATAGCATTACAACCTTGGTTTACTTCTGGTGAATCAACACAGTGTTAAATATTGCTTTACACTGCTAAAATCTACAAATGAACTTCATTTCCACTATTCAAGTTCAGTAATTGAATACACTAATGGAAGGAGCATACATTTGCTTTTGTGTAGATGAAGGCTCACAAGACATAACACATGCATTATTCAGAAACTAAAAATAAGAGGTTAAAATGGACAAGGAATTGTGGCAACCTTTACAAGGATGTTTTTTCTTCTACAAAAACAATAGTACTTTTAATATCTGCATATAAGGTTGGTATTTCAAGTTGAAATGAGTGTGTTTAGTCTTGTGGTCTTTGTAAAGGATCAGTCTGTTTTGTAGGAATTTTATTTGGGTAAGAGCTAAGTACAAAGGTGCAATGCTGTAAAATCTGTTCAAAATGTGAACTTACACAAAAGAGGGAGGAACTAATTTCTTTTTCAGAACACAAAATTAGAAAAAGCCAAATAATTTTCAGACTGGCTGTGTAACTAACAAACTAATGTAGAAAGCTGTTACAGGAATGTACCGTAACTTTCCATATGTTAATGAATACTCTTACCACATGCCCCCATAATCAGATCAGTTAAGTAATATTTAGACATGAAAAAAGCAGTAGTTTCAAATCTTAGCAGTAAATATATTCTTCAGCTTTCATGAAAATAGAAAGGTCTTAAATTGTAATCCTGCACTCAGGCTGCCTGGGTAGTTAACTTCAGTAGGAATTAAGCAGCCAAAGTGTGTGCAGGATTGCAGCCATTGTATCTGCATACTTGCTGTTGACATTATTAGTTGCTTTATTCATCTACATACATATTTTCCTATATCTTTTAAAAATTAAATTCCATCTCGTCATGTCCATATTTTAAAATAAAAGGGCATGGCAATATTGTAATTAACAGGCCAGTAGCTCTAGGGATAGACTACCTTTTTTTGACTGGAAAAATGAGTACTTGATTATCTTCAAAGACTAGAAATCATAGGATGAGACTTTATGCCAGCTAAGAGCACTGCACCTTTAACAGAAAGGTTCACTTTGTTCACTCATCCAGCCTTTAAACTATAATTTTACTTTCTCCTGCATAAGGATCAAACTCTTACACTGGATCTACTGGAGCAATTGCAGGATCACAGGAATCGTCTCTGGACCCAAGAGATAAAAAATCAAAAAGGTAAAATAAAATAAATAGCACAGTTTTGTACTGGGTATGCTGTCCTAAAATTCTGATTTTAAAATTATTTGTTATTTATAGTTTGCCTTTCTCACTTGGACTCAAGGTGGATTACACAATATAAATTAGTATAATCAGTGGGATGAGGAGACATTTAATAAATAGTGTAACAGGACTAGGGTTGCAAAAATCTTAAACAGAGCATAAGTATTAAACTTGAAATGTTAATGCAAGAAATAGTATTACATGAGTAGACCTATAATGCTGAGCAAGATAAAAACATACAGCAACATATAATACATAGTAGGAGTATAGTATGGTCCACAGTCCCATTCCCTCTACTGAAGTGTTTTCCTGAATCATTCTGTTATAATGCAGCCATATTCCTTTATAAAAATGCCCTCCTTGAACGGTTTGCAGAAAGCAAAAAGTATGGGAGCCTTCCAGACCTCCTCAGGCAGACCATTCCATGGGGGGTGGGGAGGGGTCACTGCAGAAAATCCATGTCTCCAAGCAGTTGTTAATCTTGGCCTTTTACAAAGTGGAATCTGTAGAAGGACCTGTTCAGATTAGAAGTCTGGGGCATAGGAGGGGAGAGGCAGCCCTACAGATATGACAGTCCAAGGCCATGAAGGGCTTTGCATATGATAGCCAGGACCTTGAATTGAGCTCAGTGCCTGGCCATTAGTTAATGGAGTGACTACAGAATCAGTGTAATAATCATTCACCGCCTAGTTCCTGATGATAATTGAGCTGCGGCATTCTGCACTAACTGGTGTTTGAGCTGATTTTGAGGGGAGATCTGTATATCTACATATGGATCTCTGTGGCCAGATCAACTGAGTCAATGTAGAGGGCCATCTTCTAACTTGGAAGAAAGCAGTTTTTGTGTTTAATTGGCTTTTCCAGTAGTAATACTGGATCTGGTATAAACTCTATACTCTTGGCCAAGCTAGCAAGGGTCAGGTGAACCCCATCAAAAGTGAAAAGTGCAGTGTCCTTCAAGACTTCAGTCTTCCCAATCAGTATTACCTCCATCTTCTCAGGGTTCAGTTTCAGTTTATTCGCACTCAGCCACCTAACTACAGCTATCAGGCAGTAGCTCAAGATCTCTGCCTTCTGTAGGGGCAACAAATAGGCATGGCCTTTGTCTGTGTTCAGACAGAGATCATTAATTAAAGCCCCCTAGTACTTGATCTACTTGATAAATAACTTGTCACTAAAATCAGTCACTGTACAGAGTAGCAAATGTTACACCAATTTTTTAGAAAGGGATCTACAGGTGAGCCAGGAATTTACAGGTCAATTAGCTTGATATCTATCCCAAGCAAATTAGTAGATCTGTAATCAAACATAGGGAAAAATCAGCATGGCTTCTGCAAAGAGAAGTCCTGCTTCAGCAGCCTGTTGGAGTGTTTTTGGGTGAAGAAAAGGTGATCCAGTAGGTATTATATACTTGGACTCAGAATGCTTTTGACAAGGTATCTCATCAAAGACTCCTAAGTAAGTGTGTTGTTGAAGGCTTTCATGGCCGGAGTTGTTGTAGATTTTCTGGGCTGTATGGCCGTAGCAATCATGGAATAAGACAATAGGTCCTTTTATGGATTAAAATTTGGTTAAATGACAGAAAGCAAAAAGTAGGAATAAATGGACAATTCTTGCAATGGAAGGGTTATTTAATTTGTTGATAAATTGTATGAACCTGGGGGGTAAGCAGTGTAGTGGGCAAGGCTGCAATTGACACAACAGTGAAGAGTTCCAGAAGGATCTCTGATTCGGTGAATGGGCAACAATGTGGCAAATGAAGGCCCTTTTCACATTACTGTTCTAAACAGGATGTTATTTGTTGTTGGCCCAATTTCGAATGAAGTGATACAGGGATGGGGGTTTTATACAGCGAATTTCCTTCCATTAATGAGCCATCTCTGAAGCACTATGGTCATTTCAAACAGTGCTGCTTGGAGTCACAGTGAATAGCTCAGGGGAAGTATTAACCCAGTGCGCCACAGCAGTGAAAACAGGAACTCTCTGCTGGGGATAATTAGGAAAGGGATTGAAAACAGCCAGTGTTTTTAACGCCCCTGTATAGATCTATGGTGCAGCCTCATTTTGAATACTGTGTGCAGTTCTGGTCACCATGTCTCAAAAAAGACATTGCAGAGCTGGAAAATGTACAGAAGAGGGCAGGAAAGAAGATTAAGGGGTAGTAGCACCTTTCCTATGAGAAAAGGCTGAAGAGGAACAGCTAAGGAAGGATAGAGGTTTGTAAAATTATGCATGGGATAGAGAGAGTTGACAAAAAGAACTTTTCTCCATCTAAAATACTAGACCTTGAGGGCATTCATTGAAGTTGATAGGCATACAGAAGGAACTGCTACTTTACACAGTGAGTGATTAAAATGTGGAATTTGCTGCCAGAGGATGCAGTGATGGCCACAGTCATAGGCAGCTTTAAAAGGGGATCAGACAGATTCATTGGAGGATAGGTCTGTCATTTGGCTACTAGCCATGGTGACTAGAGGGAACTTACACAATCAGAGGCAGTAAACCTCTAAATACCAGTGCCAGGAGGCAACATCAGGGCCCCTGTACCTGTTGTTGGCCCTCAGAATAACTGGTTGGCCACTATGTGAGACAGGATGCTGGACTAGATGGACCACTAGTCTGATCCAGCAGGGTTCACCGGCACATAGCTTGGCCTGAAACCAGAATGAAAAGGGTCCAGAGTGCATAAGTTATTCGAGAAGGCCTGTAGTTAATCTGTCACTGCTCTCTCAATTACCTTACCCCAAAAAGCTAAATTAGAGACTGGGTGATAGTTGGCAACATCACTTTTTTGTGGGAATTTTTTTTTAAGTAAGTGACAAATGACCACCTCTTTGAGTGGCTGGGGGGGGGAGGTGCCTTGAGTCAGGGGATTGATAGACATCAGTGACTTATTTATTTATTTATTTATATTTAAATTTATATCCTGCCCTACCACGAAGGCTCAGGGCGGCTCACAAGGGCACCATGTGCCAGTTAAAACAGTAATACATAATTATAAACAATAAATTGCAATAAAACACAATAAAACATTTCATAAACTTTTAGGCCAAGATGGATAGCTCTCACTTCCACAATTACTTTCTCATTTACCATTTATATGGGCCTTATGTGATTTCAGCAACCAGGATGGACAAGGATTAATCCTTAAACAGGCCAGATGATGTGATCGATATTTCTTCCATATGGTCCGTGGTATGCCTGACATCCAAGTCAGAGCATATTCAAAAGACTTTTGTCAGCAAAAAAAAACCTTTGCAAAGGCAGTGGTTCTCTGAGGTCTTAAGGCTGATGACCTCAGTAATAGTAAAACACTTAAATTATTGACAAATGACTAGTGCTGGTCGTCCTATTATAATTCAGTGGCAGATCCATTTCCATGTTGAGCCTGGCATGTTTGCATTCCATCCACCCTGACTCTCAACAACAAAGACAGGCTTTAAATGAAGTAAATGTGTAAGTATCCAAAATCATTATATGGGAGCGACCTCCAAGATGATTAAATCCTGTAAAAAAAACATTGCACAAATCTAAACAAGAACACTAACATTTAAAACCAAATCTGATAGAATCTCAACAAAATTGTCCATCTAGGAAAAACAGTTACCATGAACAGTACAATTTACTTAGAAATAGGCCCATTGATTTCTAAGAGTTTTTCAAGTAAATATACTAAGGATTGTAGATCAAAGCATCTTTATTGAAGGCAGCACAATTCATGTAAGAATGAACAACCATTTTTTTTTCTTTCTTTTCTTTGCAGTCAAGATACAGATTTACCTGGTGCACCAGAAAACTTGACTTTCCGGGAGCGACAGAGGCTATTTTCCCAAGGCCAGGATGTGTCCAACAAAGTAAAGGCTTCTAGGAAATTAATGGAACTGGAAAATGAATTAAATACAAAATAGGATAAAATGCACCTTATATCAGAAGTATCTGAAAGAGCTTAGTGGGACTTGGAAAGGGGCTGTTCAAGAAGAGGAAAGTGTCTCCTGACGAAATGAGATGGAATTCTCCATCTGGACTGTTTGAAATTTAGACCTATTGCAATAGCAAGAACACGAATTCTTTATTAAGAGCTTGTGGTTTATACAATTAAAGCACTGTAAGATATATTTTACTTATAAGAATCAAGTATCATTATGTTCTTTCTCCCCACCCTTTCCCTTGTTTGGGGGGATTAAGTACTTCTGCAATAGTTCTGGGTAACACTTGTTGAATAGTTGTTTTCTGGTTTCTTACAGAAACACTTCACTAGCTGCTGAGCAGAGAGAGTGGCTATAGCTTGAACTGCCTAAACTATAATCTGTGCCCAGACTTGCTGGTGTGTAGATTGCTGGATAAGGAAGTTATACCGATTATAAGCATATCAATGATAACTAGAGCTGAAGTCAATGGTTTCTTTGGATAGACTCTTGCAGTAAAACAACCTGAATACCTTGAATATAAAAGGGCTGCATAAGAGTATTTAATCCTCAGACACAGAATGGGGTCCTCCCTTTGCATAGTCCTTTGAATATGAAATACTTGATTTACTTTACTGACAGTCCACTAATGTGACAAGAGTTGCACCTTTGGGTTTTTCGTTTCTCCTTCATTCCAAGATTGAACTACTAACTGCTTCTTACACTTAAGAGTTTTCAGACCTCTTTGGTGATAGCTGAAGTCAAGACTGGGAAAATGGGTGGACCTTTGGTCATGGCGTGCATGTGAATGGAGGCTACAAAGTTTTAGTACTATATAGAAATTTCAGAACTAAGCAATAGGGATTAAGCTGCTTTTAGTAGCATACTGTAGCCAAGACAAAACCAAAGTTAAATATTCACAAAAGGAAGAAGTAAAAAAAAGTCAATTACCAATAGCTAGTAGGATATTAAGCACTACTTCAAGGGGGTAAATAGCATAAAAATGCTATGACTGCAATGAGAAAGGATAAAGCAAAGCCTGCCAATAAGAATTTCACTGAGGTGGCTTGACAGTAGCAGCACATCACTAGTCATTCATGTTGAGAAAAATGGTAGTCAAGCTGCCTGCCTGGTTTACTGGTGTTCTCTTCCTTTATACTGTAGAAAATATTGGCAGTTCAAGCTATTTTTCACACTATATTGCAGCATTATTTAATTTTAAATGGTTGAAATCTTTTTCTCCCACTGTTCCTTCAGCTATGCATATATGGCTGATGATGCTGAGAATAAGGACCTCATCAGAGTTTGTTTCTCATTGTGTGATGTTTAAAATGAATATATTATATTGTGATTCTAAGCAAATTTTCTATTTGATAAAGCCCTTAATTGGGTTTTAGTTTAATTTTCTGTATAATATGTTCTCTTATAAATATATATTTAGGGACTTATGCACACTTCCAAATGCAGAGGGTAGACTTTCACTGCCTTAGAAATCACTTTTAATAAGAGTTGTATGATAAATAAATGCAAGTTAATGATATTAAATTGGAGTGTAAATATTTTTTTTACATATTTCAGGTTTCTTATTTGAAAGTGTGCTTTACCGTTCACCTGTTAAATATGAAGTAGGGGATTAAATTGGTTGAAAGTGTTAATGAAGGATTTGTATGCTTGCTATGTCTGTTAATCAGGGAAAGCAAGCCTCCCCAGATTTATCTTGAGAACACTAGATATGCTGTGGCTGGAGAATACTGTTGCTGCTAGAAGCGAAGCAAAGAAATAGCACCTAACATGGAGTGGATTTGACCGCTATTGAGCATTCAGGTCCAGTGTGTTTATGAGTAAAAGTGCTTTTCATAACTGTGCATTATTATGGAGAGAAAAAACATCAAAACTGCTGTAGTTTCCCATTTCTACTGTATTTCACTTGCAACCTATTTTTAATAAACTTTGTATTGTATTTAACTTTGCACTGTATGATCTGTATCAAGAGTATTTGTTCAGATTACATGCACACACCGTACAAATATCGAATTTTCTTCTATATTTATAAATCAGACAAGGGGAATCCTATGAGGACTCAAGGGGAAAAGAATAATCCTGTCCCGCACTTCTTCCATTCTTGCTTTGCCCCCACACCCCCATCACAGTTTTCCTCTCACCACCTGTCCAGTCCACTGGCTCCCGGTACCCCTTGGCCAATCCTTTTTTTTATTTTAAGTTTTCATTATTTTTTTATTGATGCAGGAGAGCCAGTCATTGCTATTAGAGATACGGTAACACAAACTGGATGTGAACCAGTACTGTAGATAAATGCCTATTTACTAAACTAGGTAGAAGTTAAAACTACTTGTTGATGCTGAAGAATTTGTAAAATACTGAATTCCTAGTTAACATTACATACTACTTACTAGAAATATCCAGACATTTTTTTGCTTACAGCATATTTAATTCCATATTGATCATAACCCTACCAATGTGGTTTTTCTCCTGTATTGCACAATTACTTTCTTCTGTGGCCCACCACAAAGTACAGCTTTAGAAGGTTGTCCTGAATAGTAAACCAGATCTTCTTTCCATTCTATGCAACAGCGGGTCAAAGTGTTTGGCATTGTCACCCTACAACTTACTGCCCCTCCCCACACATGCCCTCCTTACCTGTTCATTGTCCCAGTTTTCTTTAAAAAGCATGGCAAGCAAATGTATGCCATACAGGCTGGGAAGAAAAACCAGAAAGCACCAGACTCTTGCAAGAAGGAATCTTGTGAGATTTTGGGAACTGGCATGCACAGCTGGCCACATTGCTTATTAAAAGGCCCCAGTGAGCAAGGAAACAGAACTTACAGTATGAACAAGGAGAAAGCTGCATGCATTTATCAGGATTCCCTTTTAATAATCACATCTTTCTTTACCCTTACAAAGTGAAATATAGCAGAAATGTACTTCCAGATTTAAGTGAAAATGAAATCCGTTTAATAAACAGACTATTTTAACCTTTTCTCACTGTTTGCTTGGCCAGGCCAATTCTTTTAAAGAAGGTATGTAGAGATGATAAATTAGAAAACAAAACACTTCATACACAACTGTTGCCTTCTCCAGACTTCTTGTTACTTTTTGAATTACCTGTGGTAAAGCTTAGTAAATCAGAATGTGGCTGCTGTCTGCTTTTTGTGGAGAGCACGTGACTGAATTGTCTTTCCTCAGGGATTCCTGTCACTTGCCGGCTTTAATAGCAGTAGGAGAAGCTCAGCCCTCCTAATTCCAGCTGTTTCTTCTCCAGCTCCCTAGCTCAACTTGGAAACCTATGGCAGGATGGAGTAGATAGAAAGCTGAGTACTCCACACAAAATAATGGAGAAGAATTCTTGTGCCTGCGTACATACACACACCATTATCATGATTCATTCATTGCACTGTGCTGCTTACTGGGGATAAAGGGCTCATGGTGAACAAATGAGAAAACCCAGTTTACATTGCTGAATCTCTGCAGAGTTCTCCAGTGCATTATGCAAGTGAGATTCAAACTACACATTATGATTTGTAATGTATAGTGTCTGGATTCCCCTGATGCGAAAGGGGAGCTCATTTCCTATGCACAAAGGCCACTGGTTTGGATTGGGACTATGGTGCAGGAGGAGAAGGCTTCAGCTTCCTGTACTGTTTCCTAACCCAAAAGGGTGCAAGGGCTGTACATTTGCCCTGTTGAGGGCTGTACATACATACAGGGGTTGCGGCTTATAAGGAGAGCTGAGACGGCTAGAGAGACGGTGGTGCCGTGCTCGCGATGAGGCGACAAGAGCATCTTAAAGGACGTTTATGAGATCCTATGAGATGGCAGCCAAGGCTGCAAAGAGAGAATTCTATGCAGCCACAATTGCGTCTGCAAGCTCACGCCCAGCCCAATTGTTTAGGACGATTCGGTCTTTAACGGCTCTGCCACAGGGCAGACAAAACAGTAGGGAGTTGGACATTAGCTGTGAGGCATTTGCGAGCTATTTCGCAAAGTCTTAGCACTCCGCCGTGACCTCCCCGCCACAGTTGAAACAGTTAGTGAACTCGAGGCCCCTTGCGCGTCTTTGAGTTCGGGTTTAGAGTGTTTTGACCAGCTCAGCCTGGAGGAAGTCGACAGATTGCTCGTATCTGTGCGCCCAACCACATGTGGCTTGATCCGTGCCCTTCCTGGCTCATTAAAGCGGGCCACGAGGGGTTCCGAGGTGCCTTGAGGGAGATTGTCAACAGGTCCCTCTCGAAGGGACAGTTCCCCAAGGCACTCAAGGAACCGCCTTCTGAAAAAGCCAACTCTGGACCCAGCCGAATTGGCTAACTATTGGCCAGTGTCCAATTTACCCTATTTGGGCAAATTGATCGAGAGGTCGGTGGTAACGCAGTTACAGGGCTTTCTGGATTCCAGTCTAGCTTCCGCCTCGGACATGGGATGGAGACAGTGCTGGTCACCCTTACTGAC